GAATTTTGCTGCATCCCCAAGGTCCATCCATGTGCCTGAACTCACACAGGGAGACCGTACAGAGGAGAGAGCTGGACCCATAGTGTTCTAACCCCTGTGCTACCACAGGAGGCCACTTCTTCTTTTGACAGGGGTTTAGACAGTCAGCAGACAACACTTATGATCATCTAGGTGTGCACTGGATGGGTAAAGGATAACATCAGATTTTTTTAAGGTGAGAGACAAAAATTGCTTCATTCTGGGTGAGAACAAGGGCAGTGAGGAGCTCTGCTGGGGTAAAGATGCTTCTGAGTTGCAAAATGAAAACTTTATGTATCAAGAGATAGTTACTGGTGAAAATGTAGGCACTTACAGAACCTGCAGGCGTTTTGAAGAAGAGAATTTTGCTGCATCCCCAAGGTCCATCCATGTGCCTGAACTCACACAGGGAGACCGTACAGAGGAGAGAGCTGGACCCATAATATCAGAGGTTTCAGGTGTGTGCCAGTCTCCCTGCCCCATTTACCGTGCTGCTAGCCTGGTGATCCTCGGTGGCTCCAGACTGTTTTCTGTGTTCACTGCTCTTTCTCAGCTCAGGGAGAGCTGAGCATCTGGGAGCAGCGTGGAAACACGGGGAAAGTGTGAAGCCAAACAAAGGAAAAAACCTCTGGATTTTGTTTTCATTCTGCAGCATGTTGATTTATCTTTCAAGCTGTGGTGGGTATAAAATGCTCATAGATATTCTAGCCCCTTCTTACCTCCATGGCAGCAGGGGAGTGTTATCTTTGTAAGGACTGAAGGCAGAAATAGACTGAGGAATATATCTACCCCCATGGCTTTTCCTGCCATCGCATCCCGGCAACTTCTGGATACACTGGACTAAAACCACTTCAGACAAATGGTTTCTTACTGAAAAGGCAGCAGCAGTTTTCCAAAGGTTCCAAAATTTACTGAGCTTGTAATGACTGCAGCCAGTCGCCGAGATTGTGATTGAGCGATCAAGATGTTCATAACCCAAGGCTACACACTTATTGCTTTTTCCCTTGGAAAAAAGAAAGTGAGTATGCATTATATCTTCTCTGGTTCCTTTTTACCTCGGTGAGAAAAGCACGCAACAAAGGCTGTTCACTGTTCTGCGCTTTTTGACTCTTCTTATCGTCTGCCCGAATCCATCGTCTATGGCTGGCTTGTATAATCCCCTGTGAGCCCATATGCATGGTTGTGGTGGGGCCAGTTCTGCTCCCTGGAATGGTGTCCCACAGTGACCCATGGGGCCATCTTGCTACTAATAAGGAGAATTCCAGAAGAACACAAATCTAGCATGAATATTTGTTCTCATCACATGTCCAGGTTCTGGACATGTGGATAAAGCTCAGAGAGATTCATAGCCAGATTTGTTAAGTCACATGCATTGGTTATGAGATGTAAAGAGTTTGCCTCCTGCATCCTATTCCTCCAAAGCCAGGTCTGTATTTCACACAGTTGTAGCACAAGCCCCCGTTTTTCTGTGAGTAACTAGGACAGCCAAAAAGGTTGTTGCATGCTGGGGAAGCGGTATACATAATATGAAGGCCCTGTAATGGGTTAACCATTCATTTAGCCTGCAATGTTCTTCACATCACACTGCCTCAGATGAAGTTGTATGAAGGAGTCGCAGACACAGGGACAGAAGAAGGTTGAGAGGTCATCTGGAGATCTTCTGGCATAGTAAGATCAAATGGCTGAAGGCTTGGGCAAGACAAATGAAAACAGGACACATGGGACACAGTTTTAGTAAGAAGGACAAACTTCTGTCGGAACAGGTTATGATGGGACTGGGTGAGTAGCCCATCAGCAGGTCTTTCTGAGTGGTAGGTTTCTGCAGGACTCACTGCATGAAGTCCCCTGGTCTAAGTTATGCAAGAAGTTCGACAAAGTCATCACGGTGTTCATCTCTCACCTTAGGAGCAATGAAACCAATGTAAATTCCACAACTTACATTTCAACCTTCACTTAGGTGTATTTTATTATCCTGCTTAATTACGCTACATAAATCTCCACTATGCTGAGGTTAAAATGTGGCCTCTGCCCTTATGAGTTTATAATTTTAACAGATGAGACACATGAGTTTAAGAAGGAAAAGGATATAACACAGAAACCAGCAGTGCGATGATTTGTACATTTGTGTCATTATAATTTTAAAAATATCAATGGTGTTTAGTGGAAGGGATTAGGAAAATGTAAAGATGAAAGAAGAGAGGACATAATGGAAAGGCAGGAGATGAACTGGGGAAGAATGGGGAATGGAAGGTAGTAGTGAAGGGGTAATGAAAGACAGCAAAAGAAGCAGCTGAATGGTCTTCAGCACCTGAATGGTGGTCGTCTGCAGCACTTGTTACAGATATCTATTAGTTTGTGACAGATATCTATTAGTTGTGCTGACCTAATTTTTCACCAGATCCCTGGAGCTGGATGCTCCTTGAAATATTTTTCTTCTCCAAACTCACAAAGATCATAGGAAAAACATGATATTGCATGGATGGTAGGGCCTGCCTTTCCTAAAGGGGAATTGTTAAAAGCCAACACCAGTCACACCAATGCCATCTTTAAAGTAGAGATGATAAGACCTTTTAGTTAATTTTATTGCATTACATTTCATTTTATAGATGTACAGGAGGTTGAACTTCATTTTCTTGCTGAGCATTTAATATTACCTTATCAGACTTTAAATGGGAATTGCAAAACCTCTGCTGCATCGTTTAGAAATTACTTACTTACACCACCATCTCTAGGAACTTTTTGGGTACAGTGACAGCTTAAATTCCTGCAACACCAGAAAGCAAATCTCCAAGAGACCCATCCTCTTTGTGTTTCAAAGGCCACCTGGACCACACTTTCGTAAGGTTATTGCGATGGACTGGCTCTACGCCACTGACATTTCTTAATCCACTGTCAGGCCTTTCGCTGACTGCAAGATTATTGACGAAACATTACAAGATGCAGTGATCTTCCATCCTAACGTGTCTGTCTCAAACCCTGCACTAGTGGTGATGGAGTTGTGGGGTTCATCTGCAAGTATCTGTCTTGCTGATTTTGTCCTTCTTGCTGACAATAACAGAAAAAATTAAAGGCATCTATCTTCAGCCTTATTCAGGGCCCACATAACACTGCTGTACAATAAAGTTGATTTAAGTCTGATCCTGTAGATTTGGTGCTTCAGTTAGCTCTTTATCACAGTGCTTTCAAAGCTGCAGTGCCTGTAGCTCTCTGAGCATCCTCACTCTTTGACTACCCACAAACACTTCATGACACCAAATATTTGGGAGTTACCATCACTGCCATCTTGCAGATTGGTTACCATTGAACAGTTTCCAATCTGAACTTTGAGGCTGCTTGATGGGCATGTCCAGAGATTTTAGATTTGTCCAGCCTGAGAGTCAAGCCAGTGACCACTTCTTCAGGGCTCATCTTGCCCACCACGCTGGAATAATTCCAAGGTGATGGGCGGTAACGTTTCTGGGCGAGGGCAGGGTCAGCCCTTCTCCATCACTTAAGCTGTGGTCCTGAGTCTGGGCACATCACACTGTCCCAGGCCAGGGCAGGGGGAGGGATAGCAACAGCGGTCAGGCTGGTAACACCAAAGGAGTTGGCTGGCACCGTCAAAGGCAACATGGAGCAAACATTGCCAAAAAACGTAGCAGCAACACCTGACAGATATAGCACCGTTGGTATCATGCATGTTTGAAGCATGCTGCTGCTCTGGTATTGTGGTATTACATTGCAGAAAGCCTGCAGGGTTTTTCATTAAAGGAGCTCCCCAAAAGAAACTCTTTTTCTGACTGATGTTTTGTCTTAGTGAAAATGCAGGACAAGAAGGTGCTGGTCAAACAGTAGGGAGGCTCAGGTTCCTAACACGCAGGAAGGCATTGTGGAAAGCCCTTTCAGAGGCACCACAGACACTCTGTAACGTCCTTCAACGTGGCTGTCCTTCAAATGCGTTGAACTGTAGGCTGAGTACGGATCATTCCAGTTTCTCCTCCTTCTTGGCAGCAAAACTTTGAGACTGTAAGATAAGTGGGGTTTGTTGTTGAGTGCTTGATTTTAGTATCACTGGGTCACGGTTTCTCCTGTAAAATGGAGGTTATGATGTTTGCCAGTGATATATTTACTTTGTCAAAAGTGCTATAGAAGTACAACAACTGTCATGTTATCCTTCTCTTATATCACTTCATAGTAAATTAAATTTGAGGCCAAAAGGACTGTTCAGCTGCTGAAGCTTATGCCCTATTTTGTGCAAGGGAAGCCTTGAAATTGGGTGCCTGATGTCTCATTTTGGAAGGATTGATACCACTGCTGCTTTTCTTGAAAATACGAGAGTGCATTGCTGGTACTGGGAGTTTTACTTACTTCAGTTCAAGTTCTTGTTGTTTCTCTTGCCTGAAGCTGCTAGTTACACAAAACAGAAAATATCCAAAGCTGTATTCAGTAGGGTGAAACATTTCTGCAAGCAGTGGAATTCATGAAGTCTTATCTCCAATGGGTTTGTATGTCATGCTTGGCTGTCTACAGTTTAATAAGGTGGACCTCTAATCTAAGGGTTTTTCCTGGGGTTGAGGCATTCATTACCTCTCCCTCCCATGTGAATTTGCTGGAATAGACCAGCCAAGTGGTTCCACCTCCCCCTCGGTGCCGGCAGGAATCTGGGACTTTCTTTTCTATCCAGCCACCTCTTTACCCCAAACTGTAGGAACTTACTGGCTCAGATATCAGCCGAGGCAAGTGTTGATGCCCAACACATCCACAAGTCATTACACGGAGACTGATGGTCAGCTAGACACGGGGAACTTAATGGAGCTGGGTTAAAATGAGAAGCTCGTGGATAGGATCTAGAACTCCTTACAGAAGGGCTGGGGAAAAAAACCATAATTAAGCACAAGAGAGTCAGGATGTGAGTGTTGGTTTTTATGTCTCTTACATGCCTCAGGTTTTCCGTGGTTCCAAATGAAGATAAGGCTTAAAGATTTTAATTTCAACCAGCCAACATGCAGCCTGCAGCCATTCGCTTGAACAAGATGAGGAGAGACAGGCTGAGAATTTGGAAGATATCTGAGGACAACTGGATGCCGGACATCAGTGGGAGGTTTGTCTTAGACATAAGATGGAAGGCACCATTGGTAAGTCACATTTAGGCTTCCTAAGCCCAAGGTTTGGTGCATCTACAATACCCAATAATGATGAAAATCCTGATATTCCTCCTATATGTATTGTCACCGCCAGAAAATTCTCCATTCGAACAAAGCCCTCATGCAAAAGTATAGACATGCTTTGCTGAGAAGGCTATGGAATGTGTTCAAGCTCCTGGAAGGTGAAGTCAGGCTCTGGGGCTCAAGCTGCATGCAACTCAGTAACTGTGTTAAGGCGTAACTAGATTAGAAAGCTGCTCCACCACCTTGCAATTTACTGTTTCCCAGGGAATGAGATCAATTAACAAAACAAGCCACGATAAAAGATTATTTCATGGGATCAGTTACGGGGTTTCTATCCCTTTTTCTGACATGCATCATTCTGGCCAGGTCTGAATCAGGTCACCAACTGCGTGAACAAACTGTCTGGTTCAGTCTTGCCCCTCTGTATTGTTACGGATTGCACAATTGTAAAAACAGCATTCCTTTAGTAAAGATAAGTAAAATAAAGGGGAAAAAATAAACCCCAATAATCTGGTTTTTTTAACGGTTTACAGAAGGAGAACAGCTCATCTTCTTTCATAGGGTTTTACCCACCTTTGAAGAGAAACACCTCACACTTCTGCTCTGATTTCCTTCAGGGATTGCATTACCAAAGGTTCTGTGGCTTTGACATTGGAAAAGCAGCAGTACTTTTCCACTTAGCTTAATCTTAGTTACTATTTTTTCTGCAGCAGCAGTACACAGTGCAACTTGGGAAATGTCGGGAGGCAAAAAACAATAAGAAGGCATTTGAATCATATCTCTGCCTTGATTCCCAGCATTAAGCCAGGCAACTTCTTCTCCTGCCCCATGAGTTGCTTACTTCTTATTCACAAGCTGAGAGAAAGAATTGGTGGCAGCTACGTGCTGGGAAGAGATACTGATTGTTGTCATGCAGGAAATCCAAAAAAAACAACCTAAAACACCTTTAGCTCAGACTTATGTAATGGTAAATAGGAATAACAAGGTCATCCAGAGGAGTGACTAACCATAGGGCCAAATCCTGATGTTTCAGCACACTTTTGTTCAGTTCTTATTCAGGCAGATTGGTGAAGCCTGATAAAGCTTCGTAAGAAAAACAGAATCAAGTATATTGCAAGAAGCAGGGGCCTGGGACCTGGTTCTTTGACCATGGACCAATTTCAGTGTAATGCAGCTGATGCCAGGGTGACAAGCTCTGTAAGAAGAGGTAATATATTTTATTAAACTGACTGATATATGCCAACTGAATTATGCTCACTTTATACAAGCAAAACTGCTCCTGCAGTCTTAGATGGAAACTCTGGCCTTCACTCTGCTCCCATTTACACTGATGCAAGTCAAAGGTAATTTCATTATAACTAATACAAACGCATTACAGACAAGGCAATTACACCTGTAAGATATTGGTGTGAGCTGAACCCTTTTCTCTGACATTTCTACTAATGTTTGAAATGAAATAATGAGGTAAAATGTGGTATTTTTAAAAATGTTAAACCTGTGGATGAGAGACCCGTGTGTACAACAGCACTGAGCATTGGTAAAGCTGTTAGATTTAGGAATTCACAAGTAACACTTAGAAAATACCAGTGGATTAATTGCGGAAAGGGATTGCAGGTAGAACTTTGTCAGAAATGGGGAAAGCAATCCCCTAGTATCACACAAGTCGTGTAGGAAAAGGAGCTCTTTTGCCAGTGGAGTTTGTAAAGGCTTCCCAAAGGGAGTAAGCCATATTTGCAAAAGAACTGCTCTGCCTGTGCCTGTTTAAGCTTCTTCTTGGCATAGCTCTCTGCCACTGCGGTGGTCCCTCGGGCAACTGGCCCAGTGGACAAGAAACAGCAGTGTACGTGTTCACCTCCACACCGAGCCCTTTTATTTTCTTTCCTTTCCTTATGAAGGGAGGATGGGGAGGAGGAGTGAAACCATCCCAGTCCCTTCTGCTTTGGGGTGACCCTTTACTGATCCCCTCTAATATTTACAGACAAGTTGTGACAATGATTAATGCATCATCAAGAAAATTTTTTCATCAGTTTAGACTTTTTTGGTTTGAGTAGCCAAGGAACCGGACATTTTACTAGATATACCTCATAGTTCTAAAACGCTATGTGAAAGAAATGTGAAAAGGAAAAGTACATTTCTGTCCCCTCATTTCCAATCCATCAGTTTTCAGGTTGAGATCCTTTCTTGCAAGTTATGTAAGGAGAAGATGCTGTTCTCGTAACCTTTCATCCTCATTGTATCATATATTATTAATGAAGAAAGACCTCAGTGTTCATGTGCTGCATCAGCCCGCACTACGCTGATGTTTTTTCTTTTGTTTAAAGAAAACATAAATTCACACCTATAGCTCTGCTTGGGTTGGGAGCGAAGGGAAAGAGCTTGTAAACGAAACAAGGCAGTGGTTTAGCAATTAGAGCCCAGGATTGAAAGTCAGCAAGGTTACAGTTCTGGGGGAGATTTGCTGTTGTTTGTCCTAATGAAGTTCCTCCTAAATGAGGTGATTATTGTAGCTGTCAGGAATGAAAAGGTAGGACACATTGATTTCATCCCCACTGCAATCTCCAGGACGTGCCGGTACAGAGCAGTCAATATGAATTGCCAATTAACAAAAAAACAATATTGGCAAGTCGGCAGTTTGAGAAAAAAAACTCCCTCCAGCCAGTGCATAAAACTCCTGCCATTCAAATCACCATCCTCGAGCAAAGGCATTAGCAAACCTGCCCAGAAAATCAACGAAGATGAGCTTTTTTGGCATAGCTGAATAGCAAACTGTAGTGCTGAGAGCCTGTCTGCACAGGGGAAATGGAGCAGAACAGCTATACAGGAACACTCTTCAAGTGCACACCCTATGTGGAGATAAAAATCACTTTACTTTGGAGTAATTATTCTGTTCTGAAAACACATTGGTTATTCAGGAATAAAGTATCTTTTATTTCAGAATTAAAGTGCCCGTGCTCTTATTTTGCCATTCTGCTAATGATAATAGATACAGCCGTTGATAATAAATAGAGATTCTCCCACAATAGCTACTGTGGAAATCTTCCCCATATAAATAAGCCCTTGGAATACCACGCTTCTAATTACCTTATATTTCAAGTACAGTTTGTATAAATGGATACTGTTGACTTACCTACAGATTTCAGCAATTTTCATGCAATTAAAATTGTTAACGTGCAGCTTTAGGCTGAAGAAACAGCTCCAGAATAGCAGCCAGGAGCAGAGTCTTTGACATGACAGAGTGAACCTGGTTTAGAAAACACCCAGCAGCTATTAGTACCTGACAGTTACTGCACTTGCTAAGGAATTCCTGCCTCTGCAATAACAAACCTGGGTCTTGCGTGGTGATTTTAACACAAGCTCTCAAAGGACTTGACCGGAGAGGTATCGTTATCCCTCATCTGCAAATGGGGAAAGCGAGGCTGTGGTTGTAAGATGATTTGTTCTACGTTGCCCAGCAAGCTGGTGAAAAACAGCCTTTTGTTTTCTAACCCTGAACACAGTGACATACACCTTTTCTTTTCTAAAGAAGATGATCCTGTGGCAAGAGATGGGAGCACATCGATGGTAAAGCAAGACAGACTACAAGCAAGTAAGTTGGCCTTCGGTAAGTGTCGTGTGTCAAAGACCTGCCACACCCCAGACATTTTGTGCACTCACTCCGATTTGTCACCCCCCCGTGTGCAAAAACCACAATTCAAATGCAAAACTCCGACTAGGTCAGGCTTACTTTCAGAGCCGACTTCAAAGATCACCTGGGCTGTTTCAGCTCAACTCACCTCACCACGTTCCTGGGGAAAACACGGAGAAAACTATTTTTAAAAACGCAGTAACTTAAAGACATTAAATGATGTGATGCTTCAGCAACCCCTTGTAGACGTACTTGCAACCAGAATCCGCTCAAGGCTGCAGCGCGCAGTTAATATTTAGCATTAGCTAGTTCGTAGGACATGTTACTGTAAGTGGCTAGCGCTTTTTGTTCATTTTAAACCCTATAAATGTTTAAACCCTTACCAGAATCTGCTCAAGGCTGCAGCGCGCAGCTAATATTTAGCATTAGCTAACATGTTCATAGGACATGTTACTGTAAGTGGCTAGCGCATTTTGTTCATTTTAAACCCTATAAATGTTTAAACCCTTTGCCGTTCAGTTGGCGAAGGCCCGGGAGCACGTCAGGCGCCCTGAGGCGGCGCGGCCAGGCTCTGCGTGGGTGGCTTCGGTCCCTCACGCTCCCACCCCATTCTGCAGCTTCCAGAGAGAATGACGATGTTTGGGCATAGCCCTCTTGGCAGATGTATCTTGTCTGGTCGGTAATTTCTTGATCCGTTAATCAATTTTAACCGCCTTTCCAAGGCGGGATTGTATAGCCGACGGCGCGTTTCTGTCAACTCTAGGCTGAGACTGCAGCAGGCCGGGGCCGCCGCCATAAAAACTACAACTCCCAGAGGGCCCCGCGGCGCCGCCGCACGCTGCACAGCGGCTTGATGCCGCACGCCCCGCCTCTTTCGCCTTCTATTGGGTCACAGGCCCGCAGCCGCCCGCTTCCTCTCTTCTGATTGGCTGCGTCGCC